GAGGCCAATAATATTTTCATCTTTTTAGGATAAAGACATGAAATATTTGGAGAATTCTAGAAAACATGCCCCTATTAATTAGAGCTTTTTGATGTGATGTGATGTTCTTCAGTACTTGGAGTGAGGTCAATAGATATACAGTGTAGTTGTGAAATTATAATGTATGAGAATGCATTACCAAGGGATCATAGGAGGCTCTTTCCTGAAAAGGGTAGCTGGCTATATTTCTGGAAGTAATTTAAACATAGGCTGAGAGAGGAGTACCCTCTAGATCCTTTCCAGATCTTACTTTCTATGAATTCTAATTTCTCTTTCTCATTTAGAAAAATTCTATGAGATTCACAGGGTACAGATAGAAAATAAGGCTCTGTGTGCCCTCCAACCTTACTTTCAAAAATACCACAGCATTCTGGAGGAGATATTATTGAATTCCTGCAACAGCACAGATATGAGAGTTTTTGCCAAAAAACAAGAGACTGGATTAATCCTTTCATTCTCCTCCTGTGCTTCCTAAAACTGAAAAGTCATACATACAAATTCTATTTATCTATCCCTCCTGGAATAGGCCATAATGAAGCTAATTTTGGATCATTTTCAATAATGGGACAAACCTGAATTGGGAATAACCTCTGGGATCAGTCACTGCCCTTTTGTGATAAAATGAATCTTGTAGGAAGCTACCTGGTGTTCTCCCCTAGCTAACATTCTACCACCAACGACTGGTATGTGGTCTCCAGCATCGTTCCCCACAGACTGTGTCCTTTGAATCATCATCTTCGCACTGCATTTGTCTCCTGACACCTTTCCACCCAAGATTTCTTCTTTAGCACCAGAAGTCATTTTGCTTAAATTTTCAAACGACTACTACAATAATAGAGTTGCTAACTAGACCTAGGTAAGTAACAACAATAAAAATCTCATTTCTACTTGGAGTGTGGCATAGTATAACACAATAACCAGATTCCTAACAGGTTTTTCTAGATTTCAACTTGCATATTCTTGCAATTTGGATGTTCTTATTAATCAATCCTTACTTCCATCTCTCTTTGGCTTTGTAATAAAACTACTTAACCCCAATTCAGAGATTTTATTCTCCCTTGGATGTTTGGGAAACAGTTCTAATAAACCATATTCCTGAGATCTTATATTAGGCTAAGGCCAACCTGACAATCTGAGTGTTAACTTTCCTACAGCTCAGGAGTATCCCTGGGTTCACCTTTCTCTTCCTAAACTGCCCAGAACAAATATCAGAGTTTGGCTTTTCTGCTTTCTCATCCAATCATTTCTCCTTTCCTCCTCTTTAGCACTTAAAACATTTCTGACTTTCCCCATCCCCCATGAAATATGTTTGCTTTTCCTGTCTCTGCATTTTTCTTTTGTTTATGAACTAGTCCATATGTAAGCTTATATTTCTTTCCCCCAGAGGCCCCTGATCTAGTTCTGGTCACCATTGGTTCGGTGTTGTAGTTAACATTTCGGACTTTGGAGTTAGACAACCCTAGATTCAAATTCCCACTGTGTCACTTACTATGTCCCCTGAAGCAATATCCTATTCCCTGTGGCCTCCAGTGGTTATAAGCTTGTGCTTTCACCCGCTGGGTGACCTTGGGCCAGTGACACAATCATGCCAAACCTCACTGTCCTCATTCGTAAAATGATAGTACCTACCTTGTAGTGTTGGCGTAAGAAATGTGTGATTGTCAATACAAAAGTGTTTAGTACAATAGCTAAATTAACTAAGTACTCTGTAAATATTCATTATTACCATATTACTAATTCAAATTGCTAGATGCATTTTGTATATACCAGGTTTCCTGACTTTACTTTCTTCTCAACAAATACTACTATTCCCAGTACGTGGACTACATCACATTCATTAGCCAGAGGCTCTCATAGTACACGTGAAGTTTAGAGTAGAAAGCTAGGGCAGCAGAAAGCATTGCCACACTTTACACAGTCAATTCATGTAAACGTGTCTGAATTTGAGTTCTGTTGAGTCCTTACTTGTTCCCATCTCTCCTGTGTGTTCCAGGTTAATAATAAAGCAGCTTTCATATAAATACATTAAAGCCTAAACATTGAGATCATGATAATGAATGAGGGCTATGACTACAAAACATCACTGAACCAGAGACCTGCTATGAAACCACGTGGTGAAGGCCATGAGGGAGGAATCTACATACACACCAAGTGCTTTGGGTTCCCATAGTGGGAAAAGTCAGTGCCCTAATTAAAGAGGAACTCTGGGTGGGGAATCAGCCACTGCATCAGTCACTTCACTAAACCCAGGCTTGTTTCAGCTGACATAGCTGCCAGTTCCAATGTCACCTCCCTCCCTAATTGCTCTCAATCTATTCCTCCAGAAATTGAAATCCCATCAAAGAGGGTATCTTCCCAGAGAGAAGTTGTTCCAGTTACTACAAACATTTGCTAGAAATTCCCAGCAAGTTTACAAGGTACCTTTGTAAGATGACATTGACTAAGTCAGAAGCATTCCAAGTACCAATTATCATGCAAGAAAGGGCTTTGGTTTTAGATTTTGTGTTTGTGGTGGTGCTGATGGTGGTGTTCTCTCTGGAATCCAGCCTAATCTCCAAAAAAGTAGAAGGAGTACAAGTAGTAATACAAGTTGTTATTCCTTGCACCAATGAAAATAGTTTTGAAGGAGCAAGGAGCTAAAGAAGGTGAAAACTGGGAACTTTGTATATTAAAAGGTTTTTGTAATTTGAAAACCAAGATTATGCTGGCAGAATAGGCTGTTTTAAAATCAGCATAGTAATCAAAGTTGCCTGTAATGAACATGGACCCAAACAATGATGTCAGACCTGATAAGGACTTGCAAATTCTAAAGGAGTGCAAAAAGACCATAGAGGAACAATGTTATATTCCTGCATTTACAGGAATGGTCAGCTCAAGAGATGTATCCAGTTCAGGGTGGCAGTATGGCTTTATTTTCTGAACTTGCTACCAGAAGTTAAAAGAAATTCTGCGTAAGTGCTTTTGATGAAAACACAAATTGGTCAATGTAAATTAAATATATAAAGTAATTGGTGCCTTATTCATTCCCAGCATTATAAATGAAATTAAAAGACCAAAAGTTATAGACTTTGAGGATCTTTTCACTGATGAACCCATGGAATTTATCTTCTCTAATACCAACAACTGTGTTGATCTATTTTTTCTGTCTAATTCTGTATATACTAAAACTAGGTGGTTACAAACAAAACCCAGAAATACAATTTGCATTCTAATGAAATGACTTTAAAATTATTCCACTTTTTACTGTGGCTTTACCTGTTGTCCCACAATACAGATTTCTATAGGCCTCCTGCTTAGAATGACTCTCTCAATGTAGATGACAGCCAGAGCTGAATAGAGAATCCAGAAACTGGGGGTTCTGGTTCTTGATGCAATCTATATACGATCTACTGCATTAGTTCTTCTTGATTTAGAGTTTGGTAAAGAATATGGGTGGAGATGTTCTGGTCACACTTGCACACGTGTCCAAACTGCTTTGAAAAAGGAAGGGCAAGAGAGAGTGGTATCCAACTTGGAGTCAGGCAGGCATTTCAGATTTCAAGAGACGAACTGAAAAGGGAACATCTGTTAGATGCCCTAGGTTTGAAGGCAGTCTGTGTAAGTCTTCATATCTCTGAGTGTGTGCACACAGTGGAGAGGGTGGAGCCTTCCATCCTCAAATCTGAAAAGACTGAGAGATTTCAGAGGGCCCAGATGTGCCAAAGGTCAGAGGGATCAATACACAGGCCCTACCACGGAAAAGGGGGAAAAGGTTCGAATAGAAAACCGCTGCAGAAGGGAAGCCACTGAGAGGTAAGGGAGTTTCTGAATAATTAAAAAGTTAAGAATAAGCAAACTCGGTTGCCGTGGGGGAAGGAGGTCGGGTGGGGGATAAAAAACGCAGTTGATGTGGTAATTAAGAATTTGATGGGAGCCTGGGCAGGTCACCTCCTTTCTCAGATCAGAGCCCCATCAGAAATTCTTTCAAGTGTCCTTCTGCGTCGCCAAAGATGACAACAGCAAATCAATAAGTGCTTGAAATGAAAGGGGATGTTGACTAGCCCCCAGGCTACAGATTTCCCGCTGCCAGCCTTTTCTGAACTCCTATAGCGTGCCTTTGCACAGCCTCTCTTAAGAAGAGCTACCTTTTTATTCCTATTCTCAGGACGAAGGTAAGTGCTCAGTTAGCATATCTATTAAACGTCGACTCCGGTTCCAGCTGTCTGATTGCGCCGAAAGCTCACCCCCAGAGCTCACCCAGCCCGCCGGCAGGGTAGACAAAAAAGACGAAGCTTGGCCTGGCGGCTTGCGGGGCCACGCACCTTCAGAGCTGGCCCGGAGTCTTCCAGAGTTTAACGATCCTGGGTTAGAGCTTTAAGATCCCGGTCGGAGCAAAGAGCCTGAGCCACTGCAGCCATAGGAGAGCTCCTTCCACTTGAATGTACTCACAGACAAGCACAAAATCTTTTTAACAACTTAGGAGAAAGACCCCTGCTCCAAAATTAAAGCTAGGAATCACAGGAAACTTTGAGTTCCAGATATTGGTCTGTTACCTTTCCAATCTTCATCCTTCCTCTAATACGTCTTGATTTAACAGTCTTTCCAGCGCCCAGCATTTCCTGGATGTTTCAACTGGGTAATTCATTAGTGAGTCAATACAGACATTTGTATATTCTTTTAGCTCAAGTGGTTAAGTATTAATTTCGAAATGATTATAAAACACCAGAATCGGCAACGCATAGTAATTTTGATTTATATGCAAATCAATTGATTCATCTTAAATGCCTTAAAAAAACACACACACACACACACAATTATTGTATTGTAGCATCGGAGGCATAGATCAAACCTCTGGAATAGACAATTCGGAAACAAGACCTGGACTAGGAAGACAATTTAGAACAGCCAACAAATCAATAATGTTTGAGGCAGTTAAACATCGCTAGCCATTGGTATTTACATACTCGCTTGTTGTCAGATAAGAAGCTGGGGAAATTGCTTGCCAGGGTTGAGATCATAATCCAAAGTGAAGAAGGTAAATGGTAGCACACAGCCCGTCACAGCGGGCTCTGAAATAATACTGTACCTTTCCCAAATCCTGACTCTTGGGTGAGAGAGAGTTGGTGGAGGTCACCCCATATTTGTCCACGGTTTTGCCCCCATTTGATCACAAAATTGTTGTCCTCCGGAGCTTTCCAATTTGATTCCCATTCTAACAGTTCTGTCACTTGCTTCAACATACTATGGGGAGGAGTGTAACTGAGATGCTCACTAAAAATTCTCTGAACCCACTTAGCCAGCACTTTTTCTCCTAAGCTTAGTTTTATGGGCTATATTTAATTCCCTGTGCCCCCCACACATTAAAATCAGATCATCGAAATGTCCGTAGGAAAGGGTGAAGGCAATGGTCCAATGCTCTAGTTTACTTGGACGACTATTATATTTAGACATAGCTCAGAATCTTGAGGAAATAAAAAAGATACACGCTTGGGGAGAAAAATTTTAATATTCTAAAATGGTGGGATTACTCCCAGGGATTACCAGGGGATCACACTGGAGTTATTTATGTAAAAGTGTAACATCCTTGAAATTCACAGATAGGTAAGGTTAGTGTCTCCCCTCCCCAGGTTCCCAGTCCAGGCGATCTAGCCCTAAAGGAGCTTTTACCTTTGATGCTACAATCTTGTTTACATCTGCAGGGCAGAGAATTGCGTGCTTTGCTTGGACGCTCCCTCCACCCCCTTCTAATTTGAAGTAATCGGAATCTAAATACAGTCGCCACGGCCCAATCTTCCATTACTGCTTTGACAAGGGAAAAACCCGAAATCCACGTCTTAAATCAGATCGGTGGTTTGCAGCCCCCCAGCACCCTGCTTCTACGATTGCATGCCTAATGTATTCCCTGGTGATTCTGGGCATTAATTAGTTGTTTAATAGGAGTATGACTAAAAATGTAAAAGAAGGATTAGGAGCGTGAAACGTATGTCCAGCTCCTTCCACACACTCGAGGAGGGAATGAGAATCATTCTGTATCTTCTATTTCTCCAGGAGCCATTTGCATTTCCCACCAGCTGCTCACTTCAGCTGCACTGGCGCTGGGCGAGGCGAGGACCCAAAAGCTCAGCGCAGTGTCTGCAGCGGCCGGGACTGGGGTTAACCAGCCCCCAGAGGGCGAGACTCCAGACAGAAGGGGGCGAAGGGAAAGTGAGCTTCCCGAGCCCTTTCCTCTCAGTGCAAACCACTGAAACCTGAAAGAGGAGAGGGAGTTGCACGCGCCTAACTGCGCGTCTTTCCAGCGCAGCTCTCTTCCCTCTCTCGGTGTCTCTCCGCGCGTCCCTGAATCTTCCGGTCTTTGGTTTTCTCATTCTCTTCCAACTTTTCCGTGAGATTGCCTATCCTCGCCACCAGCTGAAAGGCGAGGCCGTTCTGCTACGAGCGCCTATTAACCTCTACAAAATGAAAAGAAAAAAAGAGGGGGTTACATTAGCCCATTGCTCAGAGGAGTGGGAAGGTTGCAAAAATCGTCGATGGGCAGAGATGAAAATGTCTTTCTCGGACTGCATTTTCCGGTGTGCTGTAACTAGAGTTCAGTTGTGGGACTTGCAGAAATTTGATTTTCTTGCCTCGGCGAGATTTCAAAAAAAAAAAAAAAAAAAAAAATTCTCAGAGTCACAAAAGAAATACAATTAAACAGCACTTGACCATTTTCCCCCTCATTTCTTTCCCCTTAAATAACACTGCTTTGAGTTTCCACCGGGTAAAAAGAGAAAGTTTGAGTTTTCACGGATGTTATGTGGAGGTTAGAAATGGCTTAAAATGTAGATCTCTCATCAGTTTTCTTCGTGGCTGAAGAGGCTAAACCTTTCCATAAAATGAGTCCATCTGTCGACTGTTAGCTATTTCAGAGTGAAGGGATTTAGCACTCAAAACAAATTGAGCAAGTTTGTTTGCCTGTTTTTACTGCTAACTCAAATGAATTCAAAACACGGAGTAATTCAAGAAAACACATAACATGTTCCAGACAGCCCCCAAACGTAGGGAAAGCCCAGCACCTATGCGGTGACTAGGGTTAGATTTAAGCGCCAGGCTTTTTAAAATTTATTTATTTTATGCACATTCTCCAGAGTCATTATATATTTCTAAAATTGCAGGTGTTGGTATATTGATTTAGGAAGAGCAATACAACTTTTACAGGGAACTTTATTCTCTATTAGGAACCAAAGACAGGTCTTTTTAATGGAAGGCCTGAGTTTTGCTTCCAAGCAGGAATTAATATTGGTGGTAAAACTTGAATCCAGAGCAATGGCTGTGTTCCGACACTTTCTAATATACATTAACAGGATGTCTTTGAGATTGAAAAAACTTTGTCCCATATGCCTGGCAGAAGCCTTCACACCTGGTCCTCCAGGCGAATTATATTTATAGTCATTCCACTCAAAAGCAGGACAGAGCCAAAATATCCCGCTCACTACCAAAATACACGTCTTTGCTCAAGTCAAGAAATCAGAAAATCGGGGTTCAGAAGTAAGGCACACTTTTCGGGTGAGAATGTACTCTGGAATTTCACATACGCTTTGCTTTTCAGGAGCAAATGTGGACTTGAGGGAAGCTTTCTCCCCCACCCCCACTTCCATCTCGTGCAATTTAATACCATCCTTGCCAGGAACCTTAACCTCGTCATTTTAAAAAATGAGATATCCCTGACCCAGGGTGAACTTGTTGAGTGTAGGTACAGCAGAGGAAATTCTAGACTCTGTGAGCGTCCTGGCCTTGTCCAGCGCAAGCCCTTCATGAACACTGGTCAATGCGTGGCCGTGCCCACCTGCGCGCGGACACTCGAAGCGTGCCTGGTCCACCCGCCTTGACCTTGGGCGCAGTGTCCCGGCTGCGCTGGGCCCAGCGTCCCGGTCTTCCCCAGCTGGCAAACCAAGCTCGCTAGCTCCCGGCTGTGGTCCTTCCACCCTCTCCATTTTTCCAGATTTCTCCTCACTCATCCTCTCTCATCCCCACCGCGCCCACCTCCACTCCCGCCCTCTATCGGTCCCTCACTTTCCTCCCGCCGCAGTCCCTCTTTGCTGTGACCTCTTTCCTTAATTCTGCAGGCCTGAAAGGTCACACACGCACGCTCACACCCACACTCCACGAGCCTAGTTCCAAACAAACCCATACACATTGTCCTTTGTTCCGTTTCTCGGCCACTTTCCCTGTCGCATCCTCCCAGCCCGTCCTGATTTGCTCCCCCAGAAGTACGTTTTTGTCTCCCCGCTGCCTCTGCGCTCCCCCTTTGATTTATTAGGGCTTCCAGGTTGGCGCAGATTCCTTCTTCTCCTCCATCCCACCCTCCCTCTGGTCCTCCTTTCCACAGTGGGAGTGCGTGCTCCTGCTCCTCGGTCGGTCCTAAGTGCCCCGCCCCGTCCCCTCTCCTTTTCGCTCTCGGGTGCTGTTTCTCCAGCTCCCGACTCTTCGGCCAGCCAGCCTCTGCTTCCCTCCCCTGCCTAGTTTCTCGTCGCCCCTGCGCGCTCCCCGCGGCGCTTGCCCGAGCGCTGTGCTCGCTCCTGGATCGCCAGCCGCGCAGCCGGGCTCGGCCGGCCGCCCGCGCGCCACCGTGCAGTGGAGTTTGGTGGAATCTCTGCTGACGTCACGTCACTCCCCACACGGAGTAGGAGCAGAGGGAAGAGAGAGGGATGAGAGGGAGGGAGCGGAGAGAGCGTGCGAGACCGAGCGAGAAAGCTCGAGAGGAGCAGAAAGAAACTGCCAGGGACGGCTAGATTTCGGAGGCCCCTGTGCACCCGTGGACTCGTTCGGAACTTGGCACCCTCAGGAGATCTGCAGTCCTCTCAGGCCCGGCTTTCGGGCGCTTGCGGTGCAGCCGGAGCCTCGGCTCGCTGGAAATCGCCCCCGGGAAGCAGTGGGACGCGCAGACAGCAGCTCTCTCCCGGTAGCCGGTAAGTGGAGGCCATCTATCCCGCAGGGATGTGAGATAATGCGAGTCTGGAAATTTGTTCCACTTCGGAAAATCTTCACCGTAGGTGATTTGTGGCTCTTGGGACTGCGTTTCGCCCAAAGTAACGCAATTGGCAAACAGATCTTGCAAAGCCCTGTTCCTTTCGTCCCCCGACACAGACGCTAACAATCTACCGGGTGCTGAAGTCGAGTGGGAAGCCAGACCAGGGCTGGCATTTAAAACGAGATATCTTCCCTTAAATCTCGGTGCCAACACTGCAGGAACAAATCCTCAGGCCAAGGATTAGCATTCTCAAGATAAAGGGCTGGGTACAAAGTTTCAGCTACTGGAAGATTAGCCCCCTTCCCATTGTTATCCATTGGGAATAAAAAGATTCCATCTTAACTGGCAGTTAGTGACCTCTCAGGCCCAAGCAAATTACCTGGGAGCCAGGCCTGGATGCCAAGCTCGCTCCATTTCTTTGGATTCTAACTCCTTTAAATTGATCACAAGTCAGCTCCAATCTTGCACTTCAGGAGATACATTTTAAATTGATGCAGATAACTATTTTCCAACTAGAGATGAAGAAAAAATTTCGATTCTAAACCTCAGAAACATGTTCCTCTTTTCCAATTTAATCACTTTACTTTCTTAAGCAATTTAGAAATCAAACTATCATAGAATGGTGTGATTTCTTTTTACTCTTTTGTGTATTGTCTTATTAAAGTAAACTAAATGGAGAAAACTTTTACTATTATGAATTTAAATATCAGGAATTCATACATTCTAAAATATGAAAAATTAATCTGATTTGAAGAAATTTCCTTGCATTCCTTTTAGTCCATTAATCAAAACTAAAGATGCTTCTATCGTACAAAATATCATTTTGGCAAAAATCCATCTAAAATTCAAATACCAATAATATCAAGGAAACAAAGCACATAAGAAAAATAAGTGGAAGGTTTTTGTTGATGTAATGTGAAATAAGCATACAGGATTTCAGTAATCAAACTTTCCCTAAAAAATTAGTCACTTTATTTGTGTAATGTTTTACTTTAACTCAGCAAAACTAAAATTATTTAGGTGCTTTGTTCCTTAAGTTGATCCTGTTTGTCTTCAAATGTTCTTAAAGCACTGATATTAATTGGTTTTAAAGAAGGCTTACACTTGGTAAAATACAGAGCTGCATTGAGCAGTATTTTAATTTCCTTAAATAATTACCCAATACAAATTAATTTACTGGCTAATTGCACAATTTAGTTCATTTAAAACACATGTTCCTGTGCTGTTTATTTTTAAACAGTCCATTAAAAATTTTGTTCTGGTGTAACAATGTGAATGAAAAGGGGAGTAATGTGAAAGGATTTGGAATTATTCGAATGATATTTTTCCTGCACTTCCATTCCTGTGGCAGTCATCAGAAATTATTTTTAAGCAAATTGTTCCATTTCTTCAGGCTTGTCTGCCTGCTTTGCATGGTTCCGTGTCCTCCATTAGCCATGTAGTGCTTTTTAGCATGCTCACAATAAAAAACCCAAGTTGGCAAAAAACAAGATTCCTTGGCATACACATTCCAACCAGAACATGAACTTTGGGGGTGAGAACTACCTCCCATCAGGAAAAGTCTCCCATCTCAATTTGTGAGATTAGCCATTGAAGCCAGTCCCGAAGTCTGGCAGCCAAATTTGTCATAGAAGACCTGCCTTGACAGGGTAAGTTTAAGGATCAGCAGGCGGGAATTGGAGGCCTCTTTTTTAAAAAATTATATTTCCCTAGTTATTTAGAGTCAGTTCTTCTAGTAGGCCTGGTCATTAAATTGAAGCATAAAAATGCAGGTCTCAAGGCTCATTTTGACTACAAAATAAATCCCCAAGTCACAAGGACATGTAGGAGTGAGTTAAGGAACACGCCTTGACCTTCTTTTCAGCCCTTAGAGTAGAGCTCTACCAGTTCTTGAAGATTTGTTTTGTATTGCTTTGTTTGGTCTTCAGCACTGAAGCACGGGGGAACGGGGGCAAAGAATGTGTAATAATTGACTGACTTTACACCGAGCAGCCCAATCGTTTCCTTTTGTATATTTCATTCTTAAAAAAAAAATAAAAAATAAAAACTATTTGCAGTTACCATCTGCAGCGCTCCGGCTACCGGCTAATAATGCAGCCAGTTCAGACATATAAAAAAAAAAAAGATTATCGAAATGATGATGACATGCAAATTTCCTCCGAAATTATCATAAGTAAACATTTGAAGTCTGGACTAATAAAATCCCATCTGTGTTACTTCATATCGAGTTAGTAGAAAGCTGTGATAATGAATTTTGTAATATCTCACGAACAGACATCTCAATCAGGGACTAATCCTGTGATTTTACTGCAGAATCACTAAATCTGGAGCCGCCAAACTGCTACTCCTGGGCCCACGGGCCCACAAGGATCGAATCGCGTTCTCGCTAGCGGGTGGGGAAACAGCCTGACGGTCCCCACCCTGGATCCCCACGCCACAGCGCCCGGCAGCCCCTCCTGTAGGCAGCGACCTTGGCCAGAGGCCCCCTAGGGCCCTGCTCCTTGCAGGACGGGCCGAGACCCAGAGAAACGAGACTCAGGCCAGAGGCAGGCCCGCAGCTCCCTGCCCCGCCTCTGTGCCTCCGCCAACCCGGCAACGCCTGCTCCCACCCGGATCCCTGCACCCGAGCGAACTGGGCCCTCCGGTCGCCAGCATACCCTGGTTAGCGTGGAGAGAGACAGGCGCTGAGAATGAAGGGGCCTAGGGAGCCCTGGACCTTCTTTTCTTCTGTCTTTAAAGCAACCGCGGTTCTTCTACCCACCCGGTGGAGCCTCTCGAGACTCACCTCTCCCGGCTTGCCTATGGCAGAGTAGGGGGAGCGCGTTAAATACTTGGCTCGCTGCATTGTGGTTGAAAATGTGAAAAAAATTTGGCTTGCCCGGGAGAGAAAGGGGGAGAACTGGGTAGCAGTTATCCCAGAGCATTTTCTCCGTCTTTGGTGGGCAGGAAACCCTCCAAGAACGTTTGCCCTGCACTCCTCAGTCTCGCTCAGTCCACCGGGTTTCTCTCCTTTGCGATCTTAAATCATACTTTAGGGTAAATAAATGGCTGGGTGAGTATGTCCAGGAGAAAGTGTGGCTAAATATGGAAAAGTGGCTCCCGATAGATGAGAGGCCCAAAGTCAGCGGGCTCCTGGAGCACCCTAAGCCAAGAGCCCATTCGTTTCAGAATTACAGAAAATCGAGGGAAATGGCTGTCTAGGGCAGGGGCACGTTGGTTTTGCTGTTCTACAAATGTTTACTGAACTCCAAAAATGCACAAGCACTGAAGGGTGGACTTCGCACACAGCTTCCCAAAGATAAAAGTCCTCTCCACGCACCCATTCCCGCTGCCATCGCATTTCGATGGCTTCTTAACCCCGGCACCGAGATTCGTGAAAGTAGGTCCACAGCCTCCCCAGCACATTGTAGCTTTATAGGCCTCTAACCTCTGGGGCCTTTTGCTGCAACTCTGGAGGGAGATCCCCTCTTGATAAACATCTAGATGTTCTGGGCCTGAGGCTAGGGTGGAGACGCTGCTGGACAGCCAGAGGCTGTCAGGTCGGAAAAGCACGCCTGCGGCCTAGCACAAAGTAGGCACCTTACAGCCTACGGGTAGTCTCATCTGAGCCCTGCGCACTCGACGGCCGCCTCTTCTCACAGCCTTCCTTCTTTTCTGTTTTGCAGATAACGGGGAATGGAGACCAACTGCCGCAAACTGGTGTCCGCGTGTGTGCAATTAGGTAAGAGGCCCCCTTCTGCTGCCCGGGTCACGGACGCGAGACCGCGCCACGCGAGGGCGGCAACAGGGCACCGGCCCTGCCGCGAGGCCCCGGTGAGGGGCGCTTCCCCGAGGGGCCAACCTGGGCAGGGAGGAAATCAGAACCAAATAGCCAGTGGCCTCTGCCTGTGGCGGGACGGTAGACAAGGAAGCAGCGATGCACTGCGTACCGGAGCTCCCCAGCCTACTCCTCCTGTCTGGAATCGCTGGCAGCCGGGGAGGGGAGGCGCAGAGAGAGTACGGCATCCTGCCACGGGTTGCCAGAGGGTCCGGGGGACAGGGGTGCCGTCCGCTCTTTCCTCTAACTGGGTCTTTGCTCTTTGTTCCTCTTTCTCCTCCATCCTGCCTCGCGCCTCCCCCTCCTCCCGTCCCCGGCTCCTTTCGGCCGCCGCTCGGAACGCCTCTCTCCGCACGTGGTGCGGACGGGCGCGTGGCCCAGGCGTGCAGCCGGCGGCCGTTGAGTGTCTCTTCTCCAAAGACTCCGAAATCAAAAAGGTCGAGTTCACGGACTCTCCTGAGAGCCGAAAAGAGGCAGCCAACAGCAAGCTCTTCCCGCGGCAGCATCCTGGCGCCAATGGTAAGGCCGGGAAGGAAGCGCAGGCCGCGGGCTGGGCACCCGCCTCCGGGACTCCGGGCCTCGGGCGAAGCGCAAGGAGGCGAGGCCGCCAGACCTGGCGCGCCTGCTGCTTGAACTTAGAAACTCGGCCACTGGGTGGGACGGGAAGCAGCCGTCCCAGGGACGTTAATTCCTTTTACCAAATTATACTGCACTCCTGAGACCCAACACCTCTCCCTGTCGCTCGCTCCCTGTGGTCTGATCCCCTATGCACGCTCCAGCAAACCTCAGCACCTTGGTTGGCGTGGAAAAGTGGTCCAACAGCGACCTCTGTCGCTCGTCTTATCCCACTACGCGCAGCACCACCCGGACCCACTCAGTCCCTCAGGCTCTTAGCCATGCCCTACCCAGGCTTGTGGGTGCGCGGTTTATCGCGGGAGGCAAACACGGGAAACTTGAGTTGGCGAAAGTTTGCTTTGGCTGGTTGCGGGAGGGTCTGAGGGCTGACAACATCCCTGCAGAGCTGGAGGGCAACAACTGTACTTAGCAGCCCAGGGTAGAAAGGTTTGCCCCTGTCGACTCAAACCTGTCTGAAGCACTGGTTGCCAGGCCTTGGGTTTTGGTGTTGTCGTTGCTTAATTGGCTGGTTTCTCTCTGGAAGAGTCGGGGGATATTGCCACGGGAGGTCTACAGGCTTACGCAAAAAGTTAAAACGTCTCCAACCTACGGCACTGGCCTTTGCTGAAAATGAAACTTGTTCTGTAGATGTGCGTGTGTGTGTGTGTGTGTGTGTGTGTGTGTGTGTGTGTAAGGCATGGAGGGAGGAAGACGCCTTTCTTTTAAAATATATGGAAAAAAAAACCTCAAATTTACCGTTCCTCTATTTTCCTGGTTTTCCCGGCTCCATAGTAAATAAGTGCCTGGCCTTAGGAAGCTGTTGACCTTTGATAATATGAGCAGATAAAGCCCCCCACAGCCCTCGGCCCCAACCCCCTCATTCCGGATTAAAGTGTAAGAATACAAATGTAATATGGGATTGGGGGAGCGATTTCGGGACTCTGGCCAAGAAAACAAACCGTATTACTAAGAAGAAAACAAAGGCCTTGCATTGGGGTTTCCCCGGGAATTGGAGAGAAAGGTCATTTGTTGAAACGAAGTGTCTAAAGCGATCTGGAGCTTCACGCCCGGACACCACATTACAACTGCCAGTCTCCCTGCTGGGCCAGTTAAACGCTCACTTGTTCTGGATTAACCCCATGGGGTTAAATGGGGGCAATGCCGAGATAACGTCGGGTGACTTCTGTCATTTAGATTGTGTTAAATTCTTCTTCTGTTTGATAATCGGTAGTAAAAATAAATTATTAGACCGTAGTATGTTTGGGATATGGTTAAATATCAAGAGCAGCGATGACTCCTTGGGAGAATCCTTTGTGCGGGCTCAGCCCTGGCTCCTACCAGAAAAGAGGAGCTCCCCAATCTCGCCTCGGGCGGGGCGGACCCGCAGTCGAAAAGCCGAAGCTGGCATTTCTTGTTGTGCTGGGAGCCAGAGAGACGCAAAACGTCTCCTCTATCCTCCAGTTCCCACCCAGGGTTTCCTAGACCTGGGGAATACATTCTGAGGACAGATGGAGAAGCCTGTGGTGAGATGGGGTCCTCGTAGTTGGGCAGGAAGCGGCCAAGAGCAGAGGAGTCCTGTTTGCGCCAGTCAGGCTGGTCAGGAGCCCATGGGCTTTCGCTTTTGATAATTAGCAAATAAAGAACTAGAAATAATGAATGATTGTTTTCTTAACCATTACTTTAAGGCCCGCATTATTTTAAGTGCACGTGAAAGGCTCTTCTCCTACACTCAATATGTCTGTTTTCTACTTTTGTACCGAAAAGAAAAATTGCTGCCCAAACACGTTTACTGCCATTAACTAAGAAAAAGGCATGTAATGGGAAGAAATGCTGAAAATCTTGATTTAATTGGCTATTAAGGAACTCGTAGACAAAAAAAAAAAAAAAAATCACAAATGAGTGGGCAAAACTATAGCACTGCTGAAGGAAAGGTTGACAGTTGACAGCGTAACTATCCTTCCCTGATTAGAAGTTAACTTACGGAATATGCAGTCCTGGGCACAGCCTGCTTGTAAAACAAAAAGATTTATTTCTTGTATATTTGTAAGGTTAAAAAAAAAAAAGAAGAAGAAAGAAAGAAAAGAAAAGAAAAAAAACGTATACAATGACAGTTTTTTAAAGGGCCGCGATAGTCTACAACGCTACCCTCTCCGCCTCTGCCCCTCCAGAACCCCCATAGCACCGTGTCCTTGTTAAAGAATAAACGGGCCGGGCGCAGTGGCTCGAGCCTGTAATCCCAGCACTTTGGGAGGCCGAGGCGGATAGATCATGAGGTCAAGAGATCGAGACCATCCTGGTCAACATGGTGAAACCCCGTCTCTACTAAAAATAGAATAAATTAGCTGGGCATGGTGGAGCGTGCCTGTAATCCCAGCTACTCAGGAGGCTGAGGCAGGAGAATTGCCTGAACCCAGGAGGCGGAGGTTGCCGTGAGCCGAGATCGCGCCATTACACTCCAGCCTGGGTAACAAGAGCGAAACTCCGTTTCAAAAAAAAAAAAAATAAAATAAAGAATAAACGTTCTGTATAGGCAGAGTTCACTCCTAAGCAGTCCAGGCTCTGCCTTCCTTGCTAAGTGAGTCCCAAGTCCCCTTGATACCTATTGGGCAGAAGCCTAGCCTGGATAGAACCCCGAACGGGGGTGGTGGGGAGCACGAGAGCGACTGGAGACCCCTAAAAGCCAGAGGTTTGAGAGAGGGTGGGCGCAGCGAACAGAAAATGGTGTAGAAGCCGGCTGAGAACGTCCCCCTAGAGTACAGAGGCCTTTCTTTGGCTTTTCTTGCTTAGGTCCTGAAAGGTGCCTTCATCTTGTGGAACTAATAAAATGATCTTCACCTTCTGGAGGAGGACGGACTGACTCTCCCCTGTAACTAAAAGTTTCAGGGCGGCGGCTCTGGGTTCTGTACTGAAATAGGACTGCGCTGCAGCCCCTTGGGACCTGATGGCTGGCTTTGCGTCCCGACAAGGGGCGGGTGCTTCCCCTGGCCTCCCCCAGGAACGCATTAATTGTTAAATAGCTTTGGCCGGTTGGCTGGGCTGAAAGTGTCGGACCCAAGGCTCTGATGTGCGCAGGCTTCCTCCCTCTGGGAGGTGAGCTCCACTGCCCGTTATTGCACCCCTAGCCGCGACACACACCTTTACACGCGGCAGCAGCTCGGCCCCCGCCTTCTTCGGAGGACCTGGGTTAACCCTGGCCGCCAGGACAGCCGCAGACCCCTCTCCGCCGCCCCGCCCCCGCGACTCTCATTCAATCAGCAAATGTTTGCCGAGCACAGACTACGTGTACTCCTAATTTACCCCCCGAAAGCAAATAATCCAGTTTTCCTCGCCGTTTTGAAGCTATTTTAATCCTGACACGGACACCAGCGAGATCAGCCCTGACCGTCTCTAGCAAAACGCAAAATGGTGGTGCGTGGGGTGGTGACCAAGGCCCTGAGCCTTGTCGGAAAGAAGGAGTTGTGTAGAGAAGGGTAGAGAGCTCTAACTGTGGCTAGCCCGGAAGGGACAGGTGCTTGCCAAAGGGAGGCGTGAGGCTTGAGGAAAAAGCAACGGGATAGGGGTAGGAGAGGAGTTTTCCATTTTCTTTTTTCCGCCTGACCTCCGCCATCCCATTTCCCCCGAGTCAAATCTGCAACTCACTGGCAGAAGCTGCCCCACCGCTTTGTGGCTTTTCACCACCAGGGGAAATTGTACAAATTGCCCGAAGGTAGTCAGTCCCTGCGGATCCCTACCCGCAAAGGTGGTCTCTGCAGGTTGCGTTCCTCGCTGCCGACTCGGTACACAAAATTTCTTAAGACTGGTTCGGCTGTAACTCCGCACCGCCCGCTGTTAATATATGCAGCAGTTGTTAGAGCGGCTCGGGGGAAAAGGAAATGTATAACGAAAGCTTATTCGTGAGCAGGAATATACTAATGGAACAATCTGATGTCTTCTTAATCCTATGTAAAAAGCTTTGTCGTCTTCCTAATATTGACTGAATGGGTAATTAATGGCTCTTCATCTAGGCGAATACCCTGTAATCCAAGATAGGCAAAAGACAACAAGCCCAAGGTAGAAGACAAAAGGCCCAACTGCAGCGGCGTTTGCCCGCCTCCTACCCCCCAGGGTCTCTGGTTGGGAAAGTTTTCTCTCAGAGGAGAAACAGGCAGGAGTGGGAGAATATATACCTACCATTTCGGGGCTAGACTTCCCCACAGCGCCTGACTACCCAGCTCAGTTTTCTGTTACTCTGTCTTTCCACCTCTAGTCCTTCTCCCTGCAGTTTTTTTCTTCTTAACTCCTCTAGGATGAACCCCTACCACCACTGCCATGATGGTCCTAATCACCCTTCCTCCCCAAACCCCACATCTTTCACTTCAGCAACCCATGAGGCTCTTTTCTGATCCTGGAGATTTCTTTCTTTTAGAACCCAATGCATAGAGTCTTTGAGAAACAAAGTAGTTGGTAGAGGAGGGAAGAAATTAATAGAAAGGGAGAGAGCATAGAGAATTGTGTGTGTATGTTTAAGAATGATCAGGAATAGCAGAGTCAACTTCTTTGTGACGATATGACAGGAAGACTGTCCAAGATTCTACCAGCATGTTTTTAACAGGCTGACATTTTAATTTAAACCTTTAGAAGTAATATATTACTTGGGTTACTACAATGAGGTGGGTTCCTTTTTTTTTTTTTTTTTTTTGTCAGCTGACAGCTTTTAAAATATTATTTCGCTAGGGAAATAAAAGCTTCATCTCAGATTATAGGTGGGTATTTTTGGATTTATGTGATTTATGGTCACCATGACAACTAATGCTAAATGTTAGCTACCAGCATGTCTGGGAGAGAGAAAACAGAAAGAAGGGAGAGTAAGAGAAATAGAAAAGGGAGATGGACATGAGCTGGAGAAGGAAGAAAAGAGAAAAAGAGGAAGACAGATGAGTGTTTAATCCAAGGCTGTTTAAAAAGTAGTGGGGAGGGACTTCATTTAGCCCCTTGCCACTTCCTTCTCTCCAGGCCTGGATATCTATGCTTGATTTCATATTCCACCCTCCCTTCCTCTTCTCCCAACCCATGTACTATACCATTCTCTTTATTTTAGTTAGTTGGGTGAGTAGTTGCTTTCTGGAGATTCATTGAGCACCTAGGAAAACTGTAGTGGTAACCTGCAAATGTGAGGAAATATTAACATGTTGGTTTAGTGATTCTAGCAAATGCCCCCCCCCAATCCCTCTCTCTTCTTCTCCCCAGGCCAGTGTAAGGTGGGAACTCCCACTGCCATCTGAACACTGTTACCCCAGCTAGTTACCCCAAATCTCAAATGGTTGAGCAGCTAGAGCTGTGGGATGGAAAGATGGGTATCACTTGCAAGGACCTAGAGAGGGTGGCTGTTACTCAGTATGTCTACAGACTTCTCATTCAGAAAATAAACTTCCCCTTTTAACAAGCCAGAGCTTTTTAAATTCCATTTAGGAAATGGGGGAAAGGACAACTACAGTGAAGCCTTTAATTTCTGGGTTCTTTGATTCCATGGCTATGAGGGCTAGTAGGTAGTGGAGTTTTCTGCTTGGTTTGTGTGCAGAGAAAAGCCAGGTAGTGGAGGGGGTGGGGCACTTCTCAGGCAGGGGGCAAGGTCTCCATCTGACCTCTGTGCCTTACCAGGAGCTCACACACTCACGCCCATTATGTGGCTCCAAGCTGAGGCAGGACTCCCACCCCTCTAAGGCCTGACAGCTCAAGGGGATATCTAATTAAGCCATCTTCTGGGTAAGCTCTGAGGACAGATTCTTTCCAAAAGTCGGAGATCACTCGGTTGAGTCCCAGGCCAGACCTGGGCTGTCGATATGGAGAGTTTGGCTGCACAGCCCAACCACTCACCGCCATGGCCAGAGGGACTTTGCACAACTAACACTGAAAAGTGTGAAATTAAATAAGACTTTAAGACTGGTAATCGGTGGCAAATACCAGCACACAACACGGCTGACCCCATGTCACACATTTCCCTCCTCTAGGGTCTTTCTTTGAAAGAATAAGCAAGAATCCTCAATTGAGACAACCACTGATGTCTCCCAGACCCAAAACCTCACACCTGCACTGAACTTTCCTTCCTTGTCCCAGGAAACCTCCAGTTTCCCTGTAAGGATAGCGCTGATGTTTTCCATATTAGAAACTTCTGTTAAAGGCTGAACTCACAGTAATTTCTATAAACAATTCAGAAGAATTTAGCCAGAGGTCACAGTAGTGCTGGAATCACAAAATGCATAAGATTGCATGACTTCTGGCCCCTTTCTCATCTATGCTTCCTATGCCCGTGCACCCACAAGTCTTATGTAGATTAAATCTCCAAAATCAACCACCAGCATACCATGGAGTTTTCACTGGACAGTGTTTCTTAGTTCCCACCACCCACCTCCTTTTCCCCATGTAGAGTTTTCATGCTGGTGTCCTGCCACACAGGGGGGCCTGAGAGGAATGTCACCCAATTGCTGCCACTGCTCTGAGTGTGTAAAGTGATTAGGAGATTAGGAGAGTGTTGAAACTCCTGCAAAGAAAAATGCAAAGAAAATCCTCACTTTGAGTCAGTTGTTTACAGAGCCCGTGTGTGTGCGTGTGTGTGTGTGTGTGTGTGGTGTATGTAACATAAAATGGATGTGAACATACATACAAATAGATATGGTTTTGGTTTTACTTTTATCTGAATTCTCTAGGTAATTGTCTTTATTCACCACTTGACTTCAATGGATCCACACAAGTTAGGACTCCTTATCTTTTTAGGCATCTAGGCTGCTGGCTGATCCCCAGTGCTTCCAACATCTCCCATACTTTGGCACCACAGGAGAGGTCACGTGCCCTTGGGTTTCTCAACCACTTTGGAAGCTGATTGAGGTCCTTCACACATGTATATTTGCTGTGATGAAAGTTCCATCGGTAGAGTGGAGCCACCAGAGCTTACATCAAAATTCTGTGGGTTTATGAAAGATGGGTTTAGAAATCTATATGGCTCTGTGGAGCTTCTCGGCTTTCTAAAATAAGGCATTTTGAAAAACACCCAAGCTTCCAAAAATATTTGCCGCTCTGCGGTTTGATTGAAAAACAGGGAGGTGGGAAGGGGGGTAGCATATACTAACTACAGTAGAGATTTTTTCATTCTTTAATGTGATGTAGTCCCTTCATGAAATGAAGCTTTAAGGGGCATGGTATTGTAGGGACCACAGCTATGCTGAGGTTTAAAAGAAGAAACTGGAATATGATTAGTAAACACATTGGGCAGAAAAGAGCTGGATTCTTATTGACTTAGTTATAGGTCATCGGCTGGCAGTGCAATGGGAGGAAATATTTACTTTACACATATACTTTATGATCTTGGGGGAATTAGAGGAAATTCAATAAGAAAACGGCTAGAAACATTTAAGACCCTTATTTAAAAGACTTAAGCAAATTAGAGTCTTATCAGATTAAAAACCACTACAAATGTAAGAGCATTGTCTTCAGTGAAACGCTGTGGGGTCTGAGAAGGAGATTCTCCACCAAATCTCAGGGATAAAATGCGTCATTTAAGCACCAGATAATGAGCAAAATGTAAATTAATTTAACCTTCTTTACCAACAGGCTGCTGGTGTAATGTGTATAATTTAGTGATAAGATTGTAGGACCTAATATAGCTAGATGTATGAGCCTCAGCTAATGCAAACCTGTCACATGAGGATGTGTTCCACTCTGAGCAGGTGTCTGTATGTGTGGAATGGGGTAACGAGGAATAAAAGGTTAAAAGCAGAAATGCTGATATAAAGCTTACTATGAAGAAAGTTCTCCCTTGCAGCTAAATTCTTAAGGTGGGATGATACTGGTGAAGAAAGACTGAAAAACAATTCTCATTTTGGTCTTTGGACTGTGAGTTTAAAATGGGGAGGAGTTGCAGATAGGGTTTGGGGGTGGGCAGGGCAAAACAGAGACACATAAGTTGCAAGTATATTTGTAGTCCGCTTCATCCACTTTGTTCCACACTAAATAGTTTCCCAATCTTGTGAACAAGGACAAGGAGGGGGTGTTTTAAAGATACTTCTTGCTGGCATTGCAAATCATTGACTGTAATGTCAAACAAATACACATTCAGAGATGATAACACTAACTCAACAATAAAACAATCGCCAGTGCAGAAACCCAGGGGAGACTAGTTTGTCCGCTCCAGCTGACCTAAGCTGGGGGACAAAAGGACTTTCAAAAATTATGTTGAATATATGTAGATTTCTTTAATTTCTTAGGAAATTAGATTTACTTGGAAACAATGCTATAGAGTTAATGTCTCCAAAAGTGACTTTTTTTTGTTTGTTTATATTAGTAAATAAGGCTTCACTTTTCCTAGTTGGGGAGCTGTTCGAGGCTTTTCGCTCTTAGTCCACACCCACTCCTCTGCTTTGACTTTAAGGGCTCAAGACAGCTTTGAGCTCACTGGGAAAAGAAAATGACTATTAAAAATTATCCTTGAAATTGGTTATTTGGCAACATTCTTAATTGTATGGAAATTCATTAAGGCATATTTTATATATAATTAGCTCAAGGTTGTTGATTCTACAGGCTTTATGGATTTGAATCTGATTGATAAGAAAGCAAACAGGAGAGTCGAATTTAAAGCGTGGCTCTCTCGGGTTAGGACGAGCTTAATACAGTGTACAAAGAATTTGAAAGATCTAGGTTATGTGTCTTAATCAACGTTAAGTAGAATGGATAAGCTTTCCGCATTTTGAAAACGCTGGGTTAGGGTTTCTATTCTATTGTGTGTTTTCTGTCTGGGGACTAATAACCATCACAGAGAACGTGATCCGAGGCGACTTTTTATTCTTGTATAAATCCAGAGTGAACCACCAAACAGTTGTTCGTTCAAAGTCAAGGTAATTTTCTTTTGACGGGTCCATTTACTTCTCGATTTCTAATTTATTAGCCTGCGTTTTCAGGGCTCTGTCTTCTTTGCAATTAAAGTAAAGCTTCTTCAGATTAGCGCAGCATTCAGTTGACAGGCTGTTTAGAAAATTTAAGATCGGAGAGGTGATTTGTTGCTGTTTTTCAAATTTTCTCCTTCTAAGTAGCATGTCTCCTTTTTATAAGGGGTAGGTGATTAGAAATGGATGTAGCCAGACAAAAAGAGGGGGTGTCTTCTTAAGCCTTGTACCTTTCAGCCCTTGACTTTCCACTGTCTTCTCCCAAGTCTCCGACTCCTAGCCTCATCTCTTCACCTTTGGGTTCGGACTAAAAGCCGGATCGCCTTGGGCTGGGCAGGAGCAGAATTCCCAGGAGCTTGCCCATGTAGACCGGGTGGGCACCGCGAGGCATTAGCCCGGCCCTGCACTGCTGATAGGTGCAGGCAGGACAGCCCCTCCACTGCGGCTCGGGGTGTTCTGATTGGTGCGGAGCCACGTCACTCCCACCCGGCGAAGGGTCTGGGAGGAGGCGGAGGAGGAGAGGGCTGGGGAGGGCCTCAGCCCAGTGACGTCTCAGCACCAGGAAGCCCGCCTCTGGGTTTAAGATGTTAGGCCAACAGGGAAGCGCGGAGCCGCAGATCTGGTCCGTCGCTCGCCTGGGTGCCTGGAGCTGAGCTGCGGCGAGGCCCGGCCCCCGTTCGACCGCCCGAGGGGTGCGCTTGTGCGCGCTGCGGAGGGTGCGCTCCGAGGGCCGAGCCGTTGCTGCCGCGACTGCTGCCGCCGCGGGGGATCTAATATCAGCTACCTGTCCCTGTCACTCTTGACACTTCGCTGTCAGGGCTGCAGCGCGGGGGCGGGCAGAGCGCGGTTGGCGTTAGCTTTTCTCATTGGAGGGGTTCTTGTGGGAGGGAGGAGGGGAAAAGGGGGTCTTTGCCCACTCTCGTTTCGCTTTGGAGCTTGGAACCCTGCTCCCTAAAGACGCTTCAAGTGGTGCCCTCCTGCCCATATCCCCATGTCTTCGTTTGCCCGCTGACTTTCGGCCTCCGGACTTTTTCGCGTGAGCCTTCCTGAGGAGACGGGGGCGTCTTGGCTTGAGGACTCGGCGAGGGTTGCGTTCCCTGGCTCTGCCCGCAGCGGGGAATCTCCGCGCCTAGAGCGCGACCCGAAGCGGGCAGCGGCGGCTACGGGGGATCGGCGGGGCAGTAGCCCAGGACTGGTAGAGCGGCGCGCTCCCTCGTCCATGAACTGCATGAAAGGCCCGCTGCACTTGGAGCACCGAGCAGCGGGGACCAAGCTGTCGGCCGTCTCCTCATCCTCCTCCTGTCACTATCCCCAGCCGTTAGGCATGGCTTCGGTTCTGGCCCCCGGTCAGCCCCGCTCCCTGGACTCCTCCAAGCACAGGCTGGAGGTGCACACCATCTCCGACACCTCCAGCCCGGAGGCCGCAGGTAAGGCTCCGCGCCGCCCCGCGGACAGTCCAGCTCAGCTGCCCCACGCCTCCGCTCCTTCTCACCCCAAGAAAGTCAGCCCCTCCTGGGGGAGGCGTGGTGGGAGTGGTCGTTCGCCTGGCTCCCCGCAGTACTTCCGGGAGCCGGAATTCTGATGACGACCCGGCGTCGCTTTAGTTCTCCCTAGATCGGCCCGGCTCCCGGAGGCGCTAATGGCGCGAGCAATTCTGCCGCCCTCTCTAATCCTACCCGGGCCTCCCTTCTGTTTTCTGGGTCACAAAAATCCCAGCATCGCGATTTCAGGACCTTCAGAGGTCGCCCCACCTCTGTCCCTGTTTTCTCTTGGCTTTCAGCTCCTGAGGAGCTCCGCTCGTTAGGAAACTGTCTGAAACTACTCAGAAATGCCCCTCGAGAAGAGGCTTTTTTTTTTTTCCGAAAGGGCCGGCGAATTGGGTGCTCAACCGAATCTCCACACCTTCTTTTCCTAGTCTTCCCAAACCGCATCGAAATCTGAGCTTTCAGCGAGGGGGGAGGAGGATCGGTAAACCGCTCGAGTGTGCGTCCCAGGAGATTTGGTGTGTCTGCTCAGAGGTGTATAAATATACTTGAAAGCAGAGGCTATAAAAATGAATGTGCCGCTGCAGCGAGATAAACTTGTGAATAAAACGTGAGGCGCTGGGGGAGGGGAGGAGATGGGGCGCGAACACCCACAATCGCGCCTGCACACCCCACAGGCGCAGCACTCCTCTTGGCCCTGAGCCGCCGAGTACACCCTCCTCCAGCGCCAGGCAGCCCAGCTCTTCCACGGTTTCTGCCGCTGGTCCAGTTGGAGTTTGCGGGTTACAGGTGGGCATGCTGACGGGGAAACTGTGTGTTTCGTTTTCAGAGAAAGATAAGAGCCAGCAGGGGAAGAATGAGGACGTGGGCGCTGAGGACCCGTCCAAGAAGAAGCGGCAAAGGCGACAGCGGACTCACTTTACCAGCCAGCAGCTCCAGGAGCTGGAGGCCACTTTCCAGAGGAACCGCTACCCGGACATGTCCACACGCGAAGAAATCGCTGTGTGGACCAACCTTACGGAAGCTCGAGTCCGGGTAGGAGCCAGCGCGGAGCCTGGGAGGGATAGAGGGAGGACTTTGTGGAGGTGCAGGCCAAGTAGACCAGGAGGGAGTGTGGAGGCAGCGCTGCCCCGCAGGGCCCCGGTGGGGCGCAGCTTTGCAAAGGCAGAAGGCCTCGCTGCTGCCGAGTTGCAAAAGAACAAACTCGCGTTCTGGGGCCGACAGGACTGCCGGCCAGGCTCAGGCTCCCAGAGCGGCACCCGCTCACTGCCCCGCCTTCCTGCGACCTCACGAGCTGAGCCGCGTGGGTAGTCCCCTGAACAAGGCATTGTGATCCTGGCTTGCAGTTGCCACGAGAGAGCTAATAAAATCCCTACCAGGTCAAGAACCACAAACAGGCTCCAACCTGCGCGCCTTTAACGAGGAAGACCCACCAGAGAAACGCAAGAGTTGGCCCTCCCTGGGAAACGTTTGCGCTGGGCCTGGCCCAGCTTTTTCCCTCCTGGGCTCGCACTTCTTACGCCTTCTTTATGGGTTTTTTCAGCCATTCAGGTCTCTCCCACACACCCTATTCCCTGGTTTTGTGATCTCCAGGAGCAAAGTTTTAATACACAATTACTAGTCCTCTTAGAAGGAGAAAGAAAAAAAGAAGAAAGACTTTTCAGTTTGGTTTATTTATCTTCTCTCAGGAGTTGAACTCTGGAGATTGAAACTCACACCCATCCTCTAAATTATAATCGTAGTTTTGTTAAAAAAAAAAAAAAAAGGCTTACCTTAACTTTGAAGCAAATCTGTACTTTGTAGATTGGCAAAAATGAGCTTAAATAAATTACCCAATAGCAACGTCCTGGTTTATGCTGGTCGGTGGAAGATTCCAAATTCGTTAGGATTCTGGAAGCAGAAAACAGAATCAAGCAAATCAAGCAGCATTCAGAGGCTTTGTTGTTAAAAAAAAAAAAAAAAAAATGTAAGTGCTCTGGGTAGAAAAATAAAGTCCCGGTTGGAGCAGAGAGAGCAAAAAGAAGAAAACAATGATAAAAAGAATAAAGACCATCATGTGCTCCCAAATCAAAGGGAATGAAGGCGCTCTCTGGGTGGCGTTTGTGCAAGGCATAAGGCTATGCTGGTGAATAAAGAGCCGGGAAGAAGTTGAAAATTGTTTTAGTTTAACTGCCCGAAGCCTGCGCTGGGTCCCGGGCAGCGTGGTTTTGTGCAAGGTCGGTCTTTCATTAGCCCTGTTGCTCATTGGGGGAACGGGCCTCTCACGTACTCTTCTTGCCTGAGCAAAGTTTAGATGGCCTAGGGTAGAAATGGCAAGTAATTAAAATAAAGATATAGTCTATGGGTCTTCTGGGATCCTTCGAAAAGGCCCTCCCACCCTTGCGCTATACCGCAGCTCCTCCCTAGTGCTCTGTTGCCGCGGCGCTGGGCTCTCCTTGCAGCTGCCTTTTCTTCCAGGGTGGCTGCTCGTCGAGCCAAGTGGGAGTGAGACATGCTTTTTATAGTAGTCGGGTGCAAAGAGGAAGGGGGATAAAAAGGAAATTGAGAATGAAAGGAAAAAGAGAAAAAGCGGATTAAGCTGCTGGGCCCGGCGGAGATGTGTAATGTGAAACATCAACGGTGTCAGCTCGGAGATCTCAGGCCAGGCCTCGCTCCAATACACAAAAGCCGCCGTCTGGGGCGACGGGCGGGCCCGATGTGGATTGGGAGCGGGGTTGCGGCGGGGCCACCGGACACGGGTGGGGGCCGGCCGGCCTGGGCGGCCGCCTGCAAAATCAAACGACCAGGCTGAGCCAGGCGCACCGGCCAGGCCTGTGGTGGGCGGAGGGTGAGAAGGGGCAGAGCAAAGGGAGGGGGGAATTGTAGAACTATCCGTTCTGGGTTCCTGTGGTTTTAATATGCCAAGCTCGTGGAGTTAAGGAGCTGACGTGAAGGTGGTCTTTTGCTTTTCATTTGGTTGTTTTGCTAGGCGAGAAAGGGTGTCGGCAGCCTAGTCTCTGTTTGGGGGGCACGTACCAGGGTGTGGGGGACGACAGTGGAGGTCAGGGAAGGGAGGGAGGAGTTGCGATGGAGAAAGATGGGTCCTCTGGTGCCCTTCCAGTCCCTTCTCCTCATCCCTGGGTCTGTGGCTTTGGAATGGAAGCAGGTTTGCAAGGTGCCCCGGGAAGGGTTGGGCAAAAAGCCTGCTGTCCGCGTTTGTTTTACAGCGAGTGTTTTCGGACCTCGAGAAAAGCCTGGCTGAGTGATCAAGTGGTCTGCAGGCCTCTATGCGTTCAGCTGGGGTTTGTGGCGTAGCTCAGAATCCCAGCTCGCAGGCTAGAGCCTACCGGGTCTCCCACGCTTGGCGGAGACCCGAGTAACCAAAAGCTGGCCCCAGTAGCTTGGAGTGCACGGCGCTGCCGCGAAGGGAGGCCGCCAGGGTGGGTGAGGGCGCTAGCGCGTGTATCGGGGGAAGAGGAGGGTTGGCCTCCTATGGAAGTTTTATTAATCTGGACTGTGGCATCTGTTTGCTCCCTTGCCCCAACCGCCCCCAGGTTTGGTTCAAGAATCGTCGGGCCAAATGGAGAAAGCGGGAGCGCAACCAGCAGGCGGAGCTGTGCAAGAATGGCTTCGGGCCGCAGTTCAATGGGCTCATGCAGCCTTACGACGACATGTACCCGGGCTATTCCTACAACAACTGGGCCGCCAAGGGCCTTACGTCCGCCTCCCTGTCCACCAAGAGCTTCCCCTTTTTCAACTCTATGAACGTCAACCCCCTGTCATCGCAGAGCATGTTCTCCCCGCCCAACTCTATCTCGTCCATGAGCATGTCCTCCAGCATGGTGCCCTCAGCGGTGACGGGCGTCCCGGGCTCCAGCCTCAACAGCCTGAATAACTTGAACAACCTGAGCAGCCCGTCGCTGAATTCCGCGGTGCCGACGCCTGCCTGTCCTTATGCGCCACCGACTCCTCCGTATGTTTATAGGGACACGTGTAACTCGAGCCTGGCCAGCCTGAGACTGAAAGCAAAGCAGCACTCCAGTTTCGGCTACGCCAGCGTGCAGAACCCGGCATCCAACCTGAGTGCTTGCCAGTACGCAGTGGACCGGCCTGTGTGAGCCGCACCCACAGCGCCGGGATCCTAGGACCGTGCCGGATGGGGCAACTCCGCCCTTGAAAGACTGGGAATTAATGCTAGAAGGTCGTGGGCACTAAAGAAAGGGAGAGAAAGAAAAGATATATAGAGAAAAGGAAACCACTGAATCAAAGAGAGAGCTCCTTTGATTACAAAGGGATGTCCTCAGTGTCCTTGACATCTTTCACTACAAGTATTTCCAACAGTTGCAAGGACACATACACAAACAAATGTTTGACTGGATATGACATTTTAACATTACTATAAGCTTGTTATTTTTTAAGTTTAGCATTGTTAACATTTAAATGACTGAAAGGATGTATATATATCGAAATGTCAAATTAATTTTATAAAAGCAGTTGTTAGTAATTCACAACAGTGTTTTTAAAAGTTAGGCTTTAAAATAAAGCATGTTATACAGAAGCGATTAGGATTTTTCGCTTGCAAGCAAGGGAATGTATATACTAAATGCCACACTGTATGTTTCTAACATATTATTATTATAAAAAATGTGTGAATATCAGTTTTAGAATAGTTTCTCTGGTGGATGCAATGATGTTTCTGAAACTGCTATGTACAACCTACCCTGTGTATAACATTTCGTACAATATTATTGTTTTACTTTTCAGCAAATATGAAAAAAAAATGTGTTTTATTTCATGGGAGTAAAATATACTGCATACAGATTGGTCTGGATTCTTTCTACCCTCCTCTGTCACTAACTTGGCCAGGGCATCTCAGTCACTGCTTCTAAACAAACCAGTTCCCTCTGCCTGCCTAGTTAAACATACAAGGCAGCAGTCCCTATTTAAATGTTGTAGAAATAAATTATAGCCATTCATTAGAAACTGAAAAGAAAAAAGGCATTCCCAGGGAGGAAAAAAAAAGAAGACTGCAAAATCTAATCTTGTCTCTCAAATTTTTCTTTGGCTTAAACTCAGAGGATTCCATTATTGCTAGCAAATAATATGAGAAAGCAAAAAGGAGAAAGAAATGTAGCAAGTACATCAGCCTGGAATGACTCTCAAGTTTACTCCTCTAGGGGGAAACCCACACCTCTAGCAAATTGTTCTGGAGAAATATTTGTGCATGTATGCATGATGTACAGTTTATATACATTTCTCTCAGGAGGAATACATCTATAATAAATTTACAAGGAAACACCTCCAGTTCAAAATATTTAGGCCTCCACGTTTATCTTTCAGGCTTAAGTAGAGAGATCCTTCATGTTATATTGCATTACTATTTCCAAATCCTTTGGAGACATTAAAAGAAACAAAGACGATTTCTAATAACTACAGCCCTTCAGTTTCTCAAAGAGCCCAGGGGTTGAGAGGTTAGAGTGGAGTTTCCTGAGTCTTGTCGAGCAATATGTAGTTGAGGCAAAGGTCATGCTCCCGGTGTTTTGTTTTAAATAATATTGACCCATTAATTTTAAACCTGCTTGTTCCTGAAATTATACAGGATTATAGTTTGCAAACTGCAGGACAATGAAGCAAATCAAGATGAATTACAGCCCTGGCCCTCCCTCCCATCCTCTGACATCTAAATAGGGAATGAGTTCGGTGTGAGTGTTTAAAGCAACTTTAAGCACCCAATCCTTCTTTATCGGCGATTTTCATCTTTGAAAAAATGTGAAATTTGATTTCATAACAAATAGAAGCAAATACCACTTAGTCCCAAAGAATTCATCGTCGTGGCGCTAGTAGGATTTTTGTGGGGTTGGGGGGAGGCCTGTGCTGAGATCTTTTGTTATTCTTATCAACTCCGCGCACACTCAGAGTGGGCGAGGACAAACACCAGGGTGAGGAACTTAGAGCAAAAAGTAGCCGCCGATTTTCTGGAGCCGAGAATATCATTGTTTTCGCGCCTTAGTTGCTTTCGTCTGAATGAAACTTTACCTAGAAGCTTTTGGAGCTCATACAGTGAGTCTTTGTTCTGCAAGAAACTGCTGCTGCCACTTAAAGAGATCGCAGATAATGTCCCAGATTTGAAATCAGTACTCAAACGCACATTAACTTTCTTGCTTTCTTCCTTTTTAAAGCTCTGCCTCTGCCTCCGACTTGCGGAGGGATCACGCAGCCGTCGGGGGCAGATAAAAGCCCTTTGGACGAGGGTCACCTCAGTCCTTGTTGTTCACTTGAGAGCAGTGGAGAGGAAAACGGTCCTCACCGGCGGACTTTGGCTTCTGGAGCCGCAGGGCCGGTCTGTCCCGGCCTCTCCGCGCCTCCGCCGGATAGGGGGCGGGGAGGAGCACCAGTGGGAAGGGAGGGAAGGAGCCAGAAGAGAGGATTTGGGGATGGGGGCTGGAAGCGCTAACGAGACCTGCCGGGAGGATTTGCGTCTCCTGCAGGTTGGTGAGTGATTTGGGAGCTCTGGGTAAAGGAGGTAGATCTCGGTCCAGTTTGATTGCTGAAATAGGACAACGCGAGGAAATAAATCAATGTGCAGGAAACAAAAAATGGAAGTCGTGGTTTAGAAAGAGTTGTCACTTCCCGACTTGAGTGGTGCAGGCTGGGGGCGGAGACTTGGGACCTAAGAAAGGCCATTTCTCTCACCTCAGCTCCTTTCCCTTAGACTTCCAAAAGGAATAATTTTACTCTCTCACGCGTTCTGCCCCCACTCCCATCCCCGGTAGCCCGCAGGCCGCCTGCCACTTTCCGCAGCCCCTTTTCCCGACCAGCGAGAGAAACCTAGCTCCCAGAGCCGGTGCAGTCAGTCCCCTCGCCCCTCCCGCCCCTGCGCGGGACCCTTTCCAGCCGTCGCTACATCCACCACCTCGGTTCCACTCAATCGATTTTTGCTGCATGTCAACACTTATTACCGGTGAGTGTGAGGATATTTTTTCTCCTTCTCTAGGTCTCTTAATGATTTCTGAGCTAGTTGTGTATTAAAGTGCTTAAAGAAACCTTTAACGTAATCTATAGCATGAGGGCCAACCTCCCCCGCTTGAGTTCAAAAATGGCGAGCTCGAGGTTGGGCCGGGAGGAGCCCAGGCCTCACTGGCCTCAGTCCACCGCCGCCCCGCTGCTTGATCACCCAGAGGTTCGCCAGACCTTTGGGCAGGAACCTCGCGCAGGCGATCCGCCGTCTAGGGGCTTTGTCCCCACCACCCCCACCTGTTACTGGCAGGCACCTTTTCTTCTCTCGGTGTATTTGGCCTATCCTCGGGTTTTGCTTTATTTAAAAAAAAAAAAAAAAAAGTAAACTTTAAAAATTTCCAAGGCCCCAAATTCTTCATTCCGCTAATACAGATTTCAGATTGGTGGAGACCTGGGAAAAGGTGTATAGAGCCCATGATTGTCTAAACTTCCTCCCAGTTCCTAAATCTGAATTTCAATGCTTACGACTTGCTTAGAATTTTAATGTTTAAAAATATGCGCGAGAGCCTGGGCCGAATAAGCAGTTTGATTAGAAGGCAAATCCTCTTCGCCTCCTTGCCCTGCTTTTTCTCTCACCCCCACCCCCTTTCAATTAAAAGCTGAAGCCCGGGGGTGTAGAGGTGGTGGTTAGGAATGTAACAAAAAAATTAATGGAAAAAATAAACAGCTTCTTGAAAGTCCTAATATTCCTCGAAAGCCTTATAAATTAACCCTGTGAAGAGCGGTGAGCCCTTTTAAGGCGAATCTATAAAAATCCAGCGCGACTTCGAAGGAGGACGACCCTTCCCCCATCCCTGTCGCGAATGTGACCAAACAAAGATCTGTCCTGCAATCCACATCCTAATCCACGGGCGCCCCCGACGCCGTCGCCGGGGCTCCCCAGCCTCCAGCCGCGCACAGTCGACGGAGCTACCCCGGGAGTCCCTGGCTCCGCGATTTAACTTTTTTAGAGAGGGGGAAAAAGGAGGGGTTGTAATTAGATCAGAGACCTTTATGAATATAGACTCCCTATTGATTGATTTATAAACCCCCTGACGAACTGCAGTTAATCTAAGTACACCGGGAAGCAAGAAACGTGGCTGACTGAAGGAGAAGTCTGGAAGTAAACAAGAGGAATTTCTAGTAGCAGACTTCCAGAAGGATTTTTTTTTACATAGCTTTTCTTCCCCAGCCTCCCAAACAATTGCATTAACTGAACTTGAGGAAATGGCAATTTGAGGGTTTTTTGGTTTGTTTTTTGTTGTTATTGTTCTTATTCTTAAGTGTGTTAAATAGAACCACCATTGTAAACACTAATCGATTTACCTTTTCAGGTTCTAGCAAATGAAACCAGGGAAATTTTACTCTAATCTTAAAAATGTATCATCCTTGGCCCCTCCCACCCTTCCCTGCCCCCTCCCCAAAGGGAGGGCTTCTCATTGTTGACTTTGTGTCTGAAAAGACACAAAGTCATTCACTTCTGTGCTGAGTATTTTATGCATTTTTAAAATGTAAATGTTGATTTTAGATTTTGTTTGAAGATTAGAGAAATCCTGCAAGAAATGAACTATCCCATTGAAGATATATTTAACTCTAATTACCTTTAAAAATCATTTCTACTCCTTTTGTAGCAATGCATTGCTAACGGTTCAGAGATAGTTGTGGAAAACAGGAGCTATTTGAAGCTTAAGTTACTCTGCAGAAGAATGGCTAATAGAGCCATCTAAATACCTTACAATTTAAAAAAAATCAAAAACGTGTAATGACTACATGGTAAAAGTGTTTACTTTTGGGTGGTAGTGAGGGGTGCTTTTTAAATTTCCTTCCTTCAGAAGGACTAACAGAAGTGCAGACTCCCAGGACTCTCCCTGGGTGGGGGGTGTGTCTGCACCCCTGGACTTTGACGGATCTTTCCAGACCTAGTTCTTCTAGTCTTCCGGCAAAAAAAAAAAAAATGTTTAAGGTTTTTGCCTTCCCTCTTGCTCTCTCTCTCTTTCTCCGCCATACCCTCCCTCTCCTGTTTTCTTTGTCCACAGCCGAGGTTTGGTTTGGTTTGGTTTGGTTTTCTCCCCGATTCATGCAACTGAGGAAATGGCCCGCTGATGCTGGGACTGATGTACCCACACTAAGGCATGGGGTGGATTCTCCATAGCCCAGAGACTCCCTCTGCCAATGCTTCCTCTTTCCAGATATAGCGAAGCCTCTCTGCCTCTGCTGACAGTTTGCAGCAGTGCGGGATCCCCTTGCCCACAGTCCTAGGAAGAAACTTTATCCTCGTAGCTCCGGAAAGATGAGACCTAGAACCATCACTGCTGTCCCCAAGAAAGCAGTGGGCAGCTTATTGAATGTGACTTGGGACTCAGACTAGTAGCAGCCCAATTCTTGGGCGCGTTTCCCCACTCTGTCTGTGTCAGTTTCAGCCCTCGAAACTGCTTCTGCTTCTCTGGGCAGGTATCAAGGGGAGTGTGCGTGGGGAACGGCTTGCTGCGCCCAGTGGAACTTTCTGCGCCCAATGGCATCTTTCTCTGTCTTCCTGGATGACTGCGGGGCCTTCTCGGCGTCGTTTCATTTGGTGCCTGCATTTGGTTGGCCCCGAGTCTCCCCGACAGCTTCATCCCGCTGTGTGCAGGCTAAAGGGATGGGGATGGGGGGTTGTAGGGAAAGAGGGGACACCACAGTATTCAGAGGTGGAGACCCTGCACGCCATCCCCAGCGCTAAGAAATGGGCTTTGCCTGTCAGAGCCTAAGGCTGCAGACTACAGATTACTTTGTTGGAAAATAAAATACGATCAAGCAAAGTAAAGTAAAATAGAACCCTTCTTCTGTGGGCGCTGGGCCTGGGGCGCTGTTCATTCACAGGACACTCCTGACCTTAGCTTCTCCAGATACCTCTTGAAATCTATGAAGTCGAGGGAGATGTTCTTATCTGATGAGACAGTGTCTTGTTTATCTGTTTCTCTGACACGAGAGAAAAAAAGAAGAAGAAGAAGAAGGAGAGGAACTTCTTGCAAATGCTGGGCTGCAGCTCTAGGCTACAGCTTCCCGGCGCGAAACTCTTCATCCCGGAGCCTCCTTTCCCTGCGTGGCTTGGCAAGCTTGTCCATCCGCCATGCGCCAGGAGATGTTTGGACAGGTGACCAGAACATTTTGGACCCATGATTTCCCTGGGGGGCACGCGGCCCTGCTCTTAGAAAGACCCGTGGTGCAGCCGCTCCACCTGAACTTACCCCCAGGTGCGGCTTTTCTTAGGACCTCATTGGCCGTCTACGCCGTGGTTCGGTTACAACCTCATCCTACCGCTTTCCACTGACTATAACAGCTGCTTTATCTTAATGTTCATTTTTTTTTTTTTTTTGGCCGATAATATGGTGGAAAGGCGCTGGTAAGACGTGCTGCCTGCCTCCCTTTACCCTGACGGTAGTTTCAGACGCACTTAGAGAAGCGGGAACCCGGAGGGCCACCTACGCACCTCCGGGTCGCCCTCTCGGCCCGGGCACTCGAATTTTGCATGTCCCTCTGGACAACAAAAGCGGGATCTACTCTGCAGCTGCCACCACACCCCCACTTCCCGCTAACGTCCCTAGCCGGAAGCCCCAGGCAGGGCATCGCAGCCCCCACCCGCGAGCTGCACCGACTGCCCCCGGGGTCCCGCTGGGGCAAAGCGCCGGCCCTCGCGCCAGCGCTCCGGACGCCCCCCGCAAGCGCAGCTCGCAGCCTGGCTGGCCGCCCCGTGTGCGGTCTGGGCTCAGCTCTGGCGCGGCCTTGTCGCTGCTCCTCCAAAGATCGCGCGCCAGGCTGGGCCACAGCTGTGACCATGTCTCTGCTCTCTTCTAGTCCACCCAGGGAGTCCAGGGCCGGAGGAGCCCCCGTCACATCCCCTTCTCACCCTTTCTCGGGCCTCCACGCCTTCACTCCCGGGCAGCCATATACCTTGAATGGGTCATGCCTGCCTGCCTCCTTGGAGCTGCCTCTTGAAGCCCAGGGGTTGAACATTAACCGGCTGTGGCTATAGACTGGGGTAAAACGTTACGTATAAAAATGAATCATCTATCCAGTCCTTGGAGAAAGGACCTATAGAGAGCTCTGAACCTAAAGCAGCCCCAGCCTTGTCCCTGGCCCAATGTACCGACTCTTCTGGGGGCCACTTTCCAAGGACCGTTCAGCAGCAGGCAGCGGAGGACACAAGGGGTGCTGGAGGGATGGGGGTGACCGAGCCAACCGTTCTGCTTGCGGAGCTTGAGGTTCAGGTCTTCTAACGCAAGAGAATTTCCTTTCCTCTCACACTCGAGAATGGTCTCCAACAGCTTTTCGTCTCTTATAAAGGTTAATGAGGAAAAGCTGGAGTCTAGGAGGAGCGGCTGCCCACAAGGCCGAGAATTGTCGTGCTGCTGCCATCCCTGGCGCCCGGGGTGGAATCCCGAGAGGCAGGGCTTAGAGGGTTGGGAGTGGCAGCAAGAGCCCCGAAACCAGGGCCTGAGTAGGGAGGGGAGGCGTGCGGTGGGCGGTGCAACCGGCGCCCGACCTGGCCCTCGGCCTGAGACCAGGCAGAAGTCCTGGCTTGTGGTAGAGCTGAAATCCTAGGCTCCCATCCGATCCCACCCGCAACTGGTCCAGACCCTGCCTCTTTCCAACTCTGACTTATTTGTTTTTTTCTTTAAACATAAGTAATGCAAAGTAAAATACATCGGCACTGACTTATGTGCTAGGCCCACGTGCCCAGTCAAATATACAGAATTTACCAGAAGATAACAGAGCTGAAGGAAGAATTCAAGACAGTGCACATCCTAAGTTCCTGTTCCCTCACCTGGAAACGTTACTGACTGAGGCACTCAGCAAATTCCTGAATAGGAAGATGATTCTGTTTCTGTATCTCTGTCTCTCTCCCTCTGTCTAACCTCTGCTCCCCCTCCCCCACTGAAGAAAAGAGATAAGTTCCGTGCAGGCAAAAGGGAGATGCGATGTTATTAGGGCTTTCAGGAATTGCCAACCAACCTGCAAATTCTTGTACCTCTTAAGGAAACTTTTTTCTTATCCAAAATGGTTTTATTTAAAATGCATGCCTGACTCATTATAACCTTGTTATTATTATTTTATATATTATTTTTTAACAGATGGCACTCTCCGCCTCAACCTGGACCCTAACTCTGACTTGTTTTTTGAAACGGAAGTTTTGCTGAGAGCATTCACTGAAATCTCTGTACTTACGGGTATGAGAAAGTAGCAATGGTGTGCATGTCTGCTGAGAACTCTGCATCGTTGCATTACTCTTGAGGTCACATCCTGGCTTCTTCAAAGGTCACTGCTTCTACTTCAGTGTGTTCACAGCCTGTATAGAGATCCTGCGAATTTCTGGCAGGGGATGGAGGGTGGCAGCAAACATGGAGTAAACAAGACTTTCCAGAGTGTCAGCAGGCATCAACAATGTGGCAAGTGCTGTGTATGTATATTAATTGGACATCACCAATCAGTTCATTCTCAAAGAAAATGGCTTTCTGTTTAAGATGTGGTTACAGAGTGTTCATCACTTCATGCAGTATCACTGCTCTAACGTCAGTGCACACAATGCTCTATGTCATTCCTATAGAGTGATACAGCTCAACTTTGTCAGCACCAAACTTGATGTTATTCCACACTCCCTCCCAAAAAAATAGAATTGACTCAAATGTTCCACTAAATTAGCTCTAGAGAGACAATGAATGCATCGAGGCAAATAAATACAAAGAAGTATGAATCACACAGTCAGTTGTTTTTCAGTGACTTACCGAAATGTAAGTGGGGAAAGGGTATTTACTTTCAAGGGTCTGAGTAGTTGGGGAAAAGAGTATTCTAAAGGATATTGCAGTGTTCACTCAAACCCTCTTCTCCCCCACCAAATTACCATGTTATCTGACACCCTCGATCTATTTGTGTCCTGGGAAACAGACAGTTTGACCAAGAGGTCACAGACTAGAGGGCTTGGGTGACTGGAAACAAGTTTGACAAGAAAGGAATCTGGGTGGGGTGCCACCATGGAGGTGGAGAGAGGATAAGGCCACCATGGCTGGAGCAGCCTGGCAACCCAAAATCTGCTGGACTCTGCATTTACATAAAATGCCTTGTCAGGGAATGGGGGATTACGAATAGCTATTAACATAACTTCATGGACAAGAGAAATCTAAGTTTCTCTCTCCATTCCTTTTCTTTACCTTCCCTTTATTTTCTACCTTCTTCTTGCCCTTCTTCTGCATCAGGTGACTCTCCCCAGAACTTTGGCTGCTCCTGAATTAAGCCCTGCTTATCCTCCCTCTCTTTTGAATTAAGGCTTCAGATTGTTTGTAGCATTCACTTTTCCAGATATGATACATGTTTTATTCAGTCAAGAGTCTACCTGTAAACCATGTGTACTTATGAATACGGAGTGCTTCTATGAACAATAAAAGTTTCAGGTCGAATAAGTAAAGCATGCAATATTGCATACCTTAGCATTTCAGAGTGCAAGAAGGACTGTGCACACTCTTTAATAAAGCCTCACTGCATGCCAGAGACATTGGGAGAGTGAGTGAGCAGAATTATTTCACCCAGGCAATATGCCGCTTGGCATTATGGCCACCAAAGTGGGAAATCTCCATTTAGTTTGCCATTCTCACTTTGAAAGCTCCTCCTCCCCTAAAACTACCATCTGTGAACTTGTCTACATTGTCAAATTTATGTGTTCCAAGAAAACACTGAAACAGTCCTTTGAAAAGTTTATGTGCTAAACTTTCATGAAAACGCATTTGTTTTTCTTCTGCTAAATCCTCTTTTTATTGGCTCAGCAGAATTTTATTGTGATTTCTCTCCTTGTACAATTGAGAAACACCTTCATTATCATCCTGCAACTCATTAGATTAGAACTTGGTTGAAACATATCTTTTACTCCACAGAAGAGCTGCCCTGTTTCACCCTCCTTTGGCTCCTTCTTTTCCTTTCTAACTTCTTCCAAAATCTCTAGAGGTAATTCTAATCTCATGACTCTCTCCCTTTTTACTTTTTCATTTTATTTCTGGTCACTTATTGTTCCCATACTTCCAAACTAACTTTCATCCATATTACTCCTTTGGCAATTACTATATGGGGTGTTTTATTATAAGTTAAGATTTTGTGGGTCATTTTTTTTAGCTTCTTGTGGTGGCTTGGCACAATACCTTGTAATTGAGTAGATGTTCAATAAATGCCTATTGACCAAATGTTACAATTAAAATCTTTGTTCACAAAAATAAAAGTTCAAAGACATTAAAATCTATTGAATTGGCATAAATTAAATCTCAGATTAATTCTAATTAATTTCTAATCCTTTCCCCAACAAACTAGACATGTAAAAGAATTCTATAGCAGAAATTCCATCATAATGTTTTTAAACACTGCCAGCATCTTCCCTACATCACAGCAGTTTTAGGATGATGAATCATGATCAGGGTTCATAATATATGGAACAAATTTTAATATTTCCTAATGTGTTATTAAAATAAAGAAGTTTTTAAAAAATCTGATTTGGGGAATATGTGTGGTAAGGGAAATACAAAAGGGTGGAAGATATATCAATGACAGAAGTTTCCAGCTCGCAGTTGTCTAATGTCATTTTACTAGCTAAGAGATTATCATGTCCAATTCTCCCTTTCTTTATGCTTTTTTAAAATTTCACTGGTCACAATTTATAGTAAAATATAGTATATCAAAATATATTATGGACAAAGTTATTATTTATTCTTATAGTTAGGGACAGAAAAACCTAAGAAATTAAAAATATAAATTCAAAAACAACAGAAAAGACTTAACCCAGGCTGGGCATGGTGACTCATGCCTACAATACCAGCACTTTGGGAAGCTGAGACAGCAGTTTGAGACCAGTCTGGCCAACGTGGCAAAACCCTATCTCTATTAAAAATACAAAAAAATAGCCAGGCGTGGTGGGCACTTGTAATCCCAGCTACTTGGGAGGCTGAGGCAGGAGAATTGCTTGAACCCAGGAAGCAGAGGTTGCAGTGAGCCAAGATCTCACCATTGCATTCCAGCCTAGCAAAACAAACAAACAAGCAAAAGAGAGAGAGACTTAACCCAATCAGACTTTGATTAGAATCACAGACCAAACAACTTATAGTTATTTTTATTTCTGCTTATTTTTGTCCAGTAGGCCTCGCATATCTTTGATGAATTTATGGGTGGTAGAATATCCCTTAGAACACTGACCATATCCACATCTATTTTCCAGCTGTTACCTAAACAACAAAACTAAACACACTTCACTGCAAACAGTGGGAAGAGTGGTGTTACCTTTGATGAAACATCCATGGAGCATTTGGTCATTCTTAATATATACCGGGGAAAAAAATTCACCTTATTGTGCTAAATAAATAAATAATACATATATAAACAAACAAATAAGTAAAATGGTTGGTACCGGAATGGTAGAGAAATTTTAATGACTTTTAATTCAGTGGGTTTTGCAATGCCTGCAGAACTTTTGAAGACCCCAGTCTCTAGTGGAAAACGACTAGTCCTGGTCAGGCTGTCTCTTAGTGAGCACTACAGGGAGGAGTAGACGGCTGGAGATTCCAGAAACCAAGGGGGAAGACGACTGGGAACTTACAAAAAGGTAATAGATTTGACACATTCGTTTGGTTGTCTCATTCACTATCATTTAAAAAATTGTCCTCACTTTCATAAAGCAATGGGTCAATGTTATTTTCACAGTACTCTTAACATTTTTTAACCTTTATTTTATTCATAACCTTTTCCAAATATGACAATACAGAGTGATGCAGAAGGTAGTTTGTTGAGTGCTTTCTATGAGCCAGGAACTGTGCCAGTACTTTTTATATGTTAATGTTATCTCAATCAGTTCTCACAGCAACCCTATAAAGTAGATAATATTATTTCCTTATTTGACAGATGAGAAAACTGATTCTCAGAAGGAAGTTGCCTCTGACTGCCTGGGTAATGAGTGTCAGAGTCAGAGCTAGCACAGGACTCAAATTAGGCACAAAATGACAAGATGCTAGTCTTCTGCATCACGTTATGCTTATGTGATTAGAAAGTATCACTCATAAATTAAAAGTGCTATGAAAATAATATTCCCTAGTTATGAAATGAATAGTGCTTGAGAAAGATGGAGATTATACTAACTGAGCCAATCAAACGTAAAGTTGTTTCACTCTTTCACATGTGTTTCAGAGCACATTTCCTACCCTAAAGCAATGGACAACTTGTCAAGACAGTTCAATATATGACATTTTATATATGATAGGCAAAGCAGCCAACGTGCTAATATTAAAAATATATATATATACACGCCTCCTTTATATATATATACATATAAATACAAAAATATATACATATATCCATATGTATGTTTGTGTACACATATACACACACACACGCACACATATCAGTTGGCATATGATCAAATGATTTTTTCCTTGGTCTTGTACATTATGACTTGTTCATGCCTTTCTTGCTTCTCTCCACCCCTATTAACCTTTTTGAGGCTAACTCTAGATCTCAGCTTAGACATCCCTACTTTAAGAAGGGCCTTCCTGACACTCTGGCATTGGGTTAGGTCAACGTGCCTTTCCTGTGTGCTTCCATAACCATATCAAAGCACCTAACACACTTTTATGAACTTAACACGTTTGAAGATTAGATCCGTAGTTTTCTAGCATCTCACAGCTTGCCTGTTGTGCTATTTATGCATGATTAGATTCAGATTATTTATATTTCATGATATTCAGTATATCATAATGCTGCTATGTTCTTACGGCATCATGTCAGGAGGGACACATACCAATTTTTCAATACTTGATTATGTTAATTCATTACTTAAGGTGGTGTCTGCTTCATTACTTTAATGTTTAAACTATTTAATATCTTCTCGATCAACATTATGCTTTTTTCATTGTAATTAGTATTTCATGAGCAGCTTTATGGTGAGAAATTGAAACCTCTTGCCAACAGCCATGTGAATGAGCTTAGAAGCAGATTCTCCAGCTCTTCAAATAACTGCATCCCTGGAGAACAACTTAAATGCAACCTCCTGAGAGTCTCCAAGCAAGAGCTACCCAACTAAACTGCTGTGACATTCTTCAACCTCAAAACTGGGATGAGATGACCAATATTTATTGTTTTTAAATGCTAAGTTTTGGGGCAATCTGTTGCTTTACAACTAATACTCTACCTACATTCTATATTCCAAAATTTTTCATCACTTTTAATCTATTATAGTCTCTCTCCTTCTTTGCACTTGGGGGTTTATTTATTTTTTCTTTTATGTTGCCATTTTAATAGCACTCTGGGGAATATAGAGAGACACAAGCATAGTCAATTCACCAAATTTTGCCTGAAGTCCAAGGAAGTAAATCTTAAGTGCAGATTTGGAAGAGGGAAGGGATAGGACTTACTAATGCTGTGTAAGAAAAATATTTGAGCCAGAAAAAAAAACTGAGATAAACACTATGAGGCAAAGAAAACCATTTTATGGAAAATAAAAAGTAATTGAAAAAGATACCTTTATTTCACATTTAATTAATATGATTCTGATTTTTAAGAATATGATCTTAGAAATACTTATTTTGTCTGCCCAACACCTCTCCCCTTTCTGGAAACAGAACTATCCTTTTTGGGGGAAACGTGATCTTCTTATTTCTCGTACCATATTGTTCTAATGCACACTGCCAATTACAGAACTGATCTCTGTGTCCACAAGAGTAGGCACGTGAGCTTGGCTGCCTTTTGGGTCCTTTCACAGGAATCTTCAAATGAACATTTCGAAAAAAGAAGCCTCCTTTTCATGATGAAGAGATGAGTTGTCAAAAGCCAGGTTCTCCAGGGCAGATTTCAAGAGAAGCACAGATGAGAGTTGGAGGGAAAGAGTCCTACTGGTGTCTGTTACTATGACCCTTGAGGTACAGTTAAATGCCCTTCTTGAGATTTTGCTATTCTGGTCATCATATTCCCTGTTTTGCCTAAGGTGGTTCAAATTGGGTTTCTGTCACTTGGAAAATACTTCCTGATTCAATGGACCAGAGTTCCCTCCCCCTCCCATTAATAGTCTTCACCCTTAGAGAGACAGAGAAAAAAAAAAAAGTACCTTTGAAGCCAGGATTTGAGATAGTCTTTTGGGATCCTCAGATGCTCATGTGTAAGTAGAAAAATTTCTTCTTCTAATGGTCCTCTATAACATCGACTGGGAATTATTGCGGGGGTGAGGAAGGAGAGTTGTGTACACACACCCATACCTGTTAAGCTTTTCTGCCAACACAATAATATTTATTGAAGTTCTATTATGTTTCAGGCACTTTCATAAACAGCTGCTCTACATTAGTCCAAGACCCTAGATTTTCATACTGTTTCTAATTATAGATGAGAGGATATCTTTAAAATAAAAGATGTTAAATATTTGTCTTTACAAAATGTAAATGTTATAAGTAAAGATTATGTGCACCTTTCTGCCATTTCTCCAAGTTTAACCTACCACCATTTGGAGGTTTCTTTTGCTTTTATAACACAAGTATATCCTCAAAAAATGTAATAGAATTTCAAATGCAAATACCATTTTAGTATTACTACTAGAATGACTTGTTTCTAAAGACATTTTTGAGAAAGATGATTAAAAGTAAACAAAAAATTTGAATCAAACTGTAACTAAATAGCGTGACTTGCCCTGAAATTCTAGCTTAATTCATATAAGTTTGTGTCTTCAAAAGGAGCAGACTGAAAACAAGTCAGCCCAAATCTATATTAACACATTTAGGTTAGGGAGAGTGGTGACATTAGAGGCATTAATTCCAGCTTTGATTATTGCTTTGAAACTTGGACAGTGTTTGCCCAGTAATTTCTCATGTATTTGTTTCCCTCTTAGTCTTCCTGACGGAGATGGTTACAATAGCCTAGAGCACTCCTCTAAAGAGATATCCATACTGGTAAAGGTACTAACTTTTATTTTTGCAGTGGGTGGTCCAGCACAAAAATTCCCCAGTGGCTGAGAATCTGAAGCCTACTCAGGCCTCCCATAAGCTTCAGTATTTAAACATTTTTAGATGTAATTTAAGATGTGAACTACTAGAACTAACAATAGGTCATTGGCTTTTTCCAATTTTCCCATTAGAAAATATTAAGGAACTCCCAGCATATTCTGTTGTTAAGATGATGACAAAGTCTGTGTCAAAAATTAAATTTCTTCCCACTCACTTTAAAAAATGCAACACCTTATTTCCTTACTCTACTCTGCCATTTCTATCCTATTATATA